TGGATAATTGTACTGTTTATTTCTTCTTATGCACTGAAAGAAACAGTTACTGCTTAAAGTTTTAAAAATTTTTTGAAGAGTTTTTCATGCTTATAGCTGGTAATCTGAACAACTAATTTGAAGACAGCAATATGCAATATATCAACCATTGCTGAATCCCTATTATTTTGTTTACTGATATTCTATACCACTTCTGTTTTTTAAATCTATTTTTATTCTCTCTAAAAAGAAAAAAGTAAGTTGATTTCCTTAATATTTTAGTTGATTTTTCTTAAAGCAAATTAAAATATTTTGAACAAAAGTGATGAAATTCATTTTAAGTTGCTGGATTTAGTGATAGACCTATGTTTAAAAGGCATAAAAGTCCCTATATTTGGGCATTTTCCAAATGAAAATTCTAAGTGCTACACAGTACGAATAAAAGACATTACATTATTTTCTTGATTTTTGAGAATTATTTTCCTTTGGCTGTTGGTGTCCCATTCTTTGTAATGAAAATGAAATAAATAGCATTCTCTGTTTTGGGTTATATGTGTGCATTGCTTTAAAAAGTTTTATCAATACTTAGGATTGCCTAGTAAATAAATGACATGGGATAGAATATAGATATATTAACAATAAGTATTAATATGGTTTGCAATTGAAAAAATTATTTATGCCTGTTTCCAGCACATAATAATTATACTCATTTTAAGGAATTGGTCCAAGTACATAACACATCCCAATTATTTTTCTTTTCTTTTCTTTTTCTATTTTTTGCAGAACCAGGGATTGAACTCAGGACCTTGCTCTTGCCAGTGAAGTATTTATTCTACTGAGCCATCTTCCTGGCCCTCCTTTTCTTTTTTCCCATTCCCACCATTGGTCTTTTATTTTGCCAGTGTCACATTCATTTATTTATCTTAGAATGTTAAATATCATATATTCATATTAAAAACCAGGCTAATAGGCTAAAAAGCATATAAACCACATAAGACAATGGTATGAAATCAAGATACACATTTAGATACTTTGTCCACTTTTATCTATCTGTTCTTCGGTTGATAGAACATATAGATTGTTTATAAGATTTGGCTACTATGCATTGTGCTGCTATAAAAAACTGTAGAAATACGTGTCTTTGTTACTTTTCTCACTGCTGAGACAAAACACCCAACATCCACAAATTAAGGGCAGAAAGTTTGTAGAGGTTTCAGTCTACAGTCAGCTAACTACAAGGTAGGCTGGTCTGGCAGACAATCATTGCAAAAGAGAAATAGTTCATGTCAGGTAGAAGGTAGCAAAGCAAGGGATAACCACACCTGTTTCTATGCCTTATATCCTATCCACACTACTTAAGTTTGGAAGCATCCTTAATGCTAGTTCTCTTGAGCTTAGCATTGCACCATGAATGAATTCCAGGATTGCACACTGTAGATCCAGCCTCCTCTGAAAGAGATCCACTTTTGACTGCATGAGACATCCATACATAAATCATAATAGTGAGTATGCACACATCACTGTGGTATGATGTCTTTAAATCTTTTAAAAAGGTATTTAATCAGAGAGCACTTTGGCCAAGCAATGGCCGTGACTCATCCACATGGCTGCACTGACAAAGTTCTACAATCTGAGGTACAGGATCTCAGGATAAATCCTGAGGGGATTTCACTGACCTTCTCAGACCAAAAGCTACAACTCTTGTTGCACAGGTCCTGCTTTACCTTGGTCTTAACCATCCAGTAGAAAAGTATGAAGATGAAATATAGGAAGTAAAGCCATGCTGTTATGTTGAGCTGTGGCGGACTCAGGTCAATAATTTCTGACATTGCCAGTGAAACAGAAGACCCAATGCTATTATGGGCTACTGGACTCTTTTAGAACATTTTGCTGAGTTTACACACCTATAATATTCAATAACGGAACTTAGAACAAATGGGGTATACCGATGAATGTCCATTTTGTATTTGTGTATTCAAAGTGGTTAGGATAGATATATAGTTGCATTCTCTTAATGAATAGAATGATTTGTTCTAATGGTGTTTATAAATAGGATCTCAAGTCCGCATCTTGTACAGCAATTAACCACTAAGAAGAATATATGCAGTGTGTTATTTGTTGAATCTGTACTTCCGATTTAATTTGAAACTGTCTCATTGCTGTTTATCAATAAAATTTTGAAAAAAAAAAGGTATTTAGAAGGGGAAAATCTGAGTCAAATGGAACCTTTAGTTTTAGATTCTTGAAGAATCACCATACTGATTTCCATAGTGGTTGGATCAGTTTACCCCTTCATTAACATTGTAGAAGGTTTCCTTTCTCCATACCACTTACCCGCATCTGTTATTGGTTGATTTATTGATGGTAGCTATTTTCTCAAGTGAGCTAGAATCTTTGTGTTATTTTAATTTTCATGTCTCAAATAGCCAGAAATGTCAAATACTTTTTCATATATTTACTGGCAATTTGTACTTCTTCATCTGAAGTGTATCTATTCATTTCAGATGCAGGTTTTTTAATTAAGTCCTTAAATATGGGGATCTAAATTTGCAGTTCATTATAGATGCAAGATATTAATCCTCTTCCTGGGATGTAGCTGGCAAAATTTTTCTCCCATTATGCAGTTTGTTTCTTCACTATGTTAGTGCTCTCTTTTGCTGTGCAGAAGCTTTACAATTTGATATGATGTCATTTGTTGATTTCTGATATTATTTCTAGTACAACCAGTATTAT